AGCTCAAATGAAAATGGAACTAATGTTAACGTTGGTGCTGACGATACCAACGCTTCCGTATCCGCAAAAAAGAGAAACACTGACGTTAAAGTTAATACAGAGGATGTTGCTAATGCGAGCGTAGAAACTAATGCTGCTTCTGTAAAAGTAAATCGTAAACGTAAAGTTAATTTCGTAGCCGGAGTCGGAGGTACCAAAGTTAATAATGATGTTACAGCAGATGTGGATATTGTTGATGCTAGAGTTGATAAAGAAAACCAAAAAGTTGATATTAATGCCAAACCCAATTTAAAGAACGTTAAAGTTGGTGCTGATAATAAAGTCGAAAAGGGCACAAATAACAAGAGACAAGTAGCACAATAATTAATACATAACTATTATTTATTTTTATTATATCGGTTATATCTGATTTGTATAAATTATATAAATTATTAAATAGAAATTTTAGATTATATATACTTTTTTACAAAATGTATTTTATTTTATATATATTTACTTTATATTCTTAATAAGAACTTTTAATAAAATTTGATATCATATTTACTGTTAAATGTCAACTTTGTGATTTATTTTTAATTAAATTCCAAAAAATTCTAACAAGCTCTAATTCTGAACGATTTTTTTGAAAGTTTTGTTCAAATGTTTACTCAACCATATTGAATATTTGGAAATTCCATGAATAATTATATTAATTGGCAAAATTTAATTTTTATCAGAAATTTAAATACACATTTTGAAAAAAAGGATTTTAAAACAAGTTTATTTTATCAAAATAAGAAAAAGCAATGAAATTATTTAGTAATAATGTTACAGTACGAAAATATAAAATACCAACAAACTTACTACATCAAGACAAGATTTCAAAATTAGAAATTAATGGATTAATGCAACAAATTCGAAATTATAATATGCATCTATTATAATTTCCTCAAAATATCATAATATTTACGTCATAATAATAACAATAATTTAGTGAATGTTGTTTCAAGAAGTTTTAGCTAGACTTTTCATCTTTCCATGAATAGTTAAAATTTTTAACATAAATTTAATTTGTTTGATATAAAATTTCCAAAATATCCCAGCCTGAGTATTATGAAATATTGATATTTCCCGGAACGAGAAATATTACTTTTTATTCACCAAACAAATCCTTACATTTACAAATGCTTTTGATAATGTAAAGAAAACGTCTCACTACACTACAAATAGATGCTTTACTTTTTTAATGTTTTAATTGCACGAGCAAATTTTTGTGCTCATATAGTAAAACAGATAAATCATTTTCAGATGGCTTGTCAATAACTATCCAGAACTTTCGGATGGATTGTAACACATCATTAATAATCAATACTAAGCTTTGCTAGGCATGATTACCAATTCCTACATATGCAT